TTTTTCCAAATCTTTTACTGCAACTCTTTTAGTTTATATGTTTGATACCCATTACATTTTAATGGATTTTTCTAGCTTTATTTATTTTCTAAATAAATAATAAATGAATTAAAGTGCTGCGCCTTTAGCCTTGCTGCAATGTTGTGGGGCACTCTAGGCCCTATCCTCTGGATATTGACAAGACATCTGAGACAGTAAAATGCTTGGGTTTAAGTTCCTGCATATAAGCATTGGCCCAGAATCCAGAACTTTGCACCATCAGTATTTTAGAATCCAAGGGGGCTTTTACACAGAAAGATCTACTCAAAGGCTTCCTTGTCTCACAGATGATGCATAAAACTGAGGCCAGGGTAAAAGGTACAGTCCCACAAACCTCTTCAATATAATCTACCCTTTCATGTAAACAAAATATAAAGGAGATTATTTTCTCCACGGCCTAACACACAGGTTACTTTTGATCCAGCCTCTAAGAAATAATAATCTATATACATGATTGCAAGATAAGGGCTGACTGGTTCTATAAAAGGAAGGAAACATGGACTTCCTGTTAAGTAAATGGTTATGTACACATACTCCCATCCAGCCAGTTTAGCAGGAAAGGTAGAGAGTCATAGGAACATAAAATGTCCAATATAAGTCAAACCATTACTATACTTAGCAGCTTATTGTCTGAATCATAATATCTTTCTGCTAAGATGGCCAAATTGACTTCTTTGATTAGAGAAAAGACAATATCTACATTTATTACTGACTGGAAACCCCTTATGGACTTTTTGGAGAAAACAGAAAAAAATGAACTTATGAATTTATGGTTTTGATGATTAGGCAGGAGAGATTATAGAAAGAAGAGGTTCATGTTATAACTTTAGAGAAAGAGGTAAATTTATAATTATACTTATACCTGCTGTAATAAAGATTGGAAGCCACTACTTTGTATCTTTTTTCTTTTCTACTTTTCTTTTACTTTTTTTCCCTTTCTTGCACTTTTAGCTTTCTCTTTTCTCTTTTTCTTTTTTCTTCCTTACTTTATATTAGTTTGTATTAGTTTTTGTCTTCCTTTTTAAAACTTTCGATAAAATTATTGAATAATTTTAATTCAATAATTCAATAAACTCTTAATGTCTTTCTATGATTTCAAACAAATGTCTTGCCCAAAACATTCTATAAATGCCAGGGACTGAACCTGGAATCTTCTGCATGCAAGGCATAGGTTTTACCACTGTGCTCTGTTCAGAATAACAGACACTACTGTACTATGTGTGGAAGTTTCCTTCATATCTATTCTTTATGCTAAAACTCAAAGTGGTTTTTAAAAACAGAAAAACTCCATAACCGGTCTTTTCTTTGATGCCACATTTACACATTTTTGCTCAGGAGCCAAATACAGAAGGACTGAAGCACTGAGAACCAGGGAAGCAAAGCATGAGCAAGATAAATAAAAGTGTCTCCAGGGTATGTGGGATCCAGGCTACAAAGGGCAAATGTTTCATCCAAGGATGCTCCTGAGCTTTACTTTACACAGGGAAGTTGAAAAATACTGAAAGCTGAGTGAAACCAATTAATAGCTATTTTTAAAAAGTACTTATGAGGAGATTTTGAGGGGAGTCATGTCTACTGATATCTCTTTTTTAAAAAGAACAAAGTATAATATTTAGGAATGAATTTACTTGAAAAGCAATTATAGAGAAAATAAAGCATCCACAGAAATTTTCAGAAATCCATGAAATCCAAGTTTTGTTTATCATTTACTGGAACAAAAGAAAAGTCAAGTATAATATTAATCAACAGCCCCCACAAAACATGAAAATTATTTTTATATAATCCTGTCTCATTACCAGGGGAAAAAATCTGCATTGATATTTAGTTGAGGTTCTGGGCACACAGGTATTCAGTACAACCTCATGTTCATCATGATGACACAAATTATATAATATGTCTTAATTGCATGATTATATATATCCCAACTGTCAATTGTCTCAAATTAGATGTCTTTCAGTATAAAATATGTATGCCTTTCAATATCACCATGGGATAATGGTCTCCACAGCAGTTTTGCATAACTTCAAGGAATCCCTGATTGAATTAGTCACTAATATAATGGAAGCAATCAGTTGCTTCCTAGAAAAGAAACAGACATTCCTCAGTGGCAATCTTCAACACCTGGAAGCATCTTTCAGAAATACTAGACTAAAACTCCTATCATTCCCAATATGGCTACTCACTCAGTTCCTTCTTAGCAGATCTAGATAACATCTGCTTGGGGAAAATCTAGGATTTTATAAGGAGAGGAAGAGAAATGATGACCTAACAAATGGGGCTATCACTTTAATTCTTTCTCTCTAGCAACAAAGTGTTGCAAAGAAATTAATCAGCAGAAACGTTTTACAAAGGGAGATTTAGAAAGGCAGTAAAATATCTTCTTTTCTCTTTTGTATCAGGCTACAAGTCTGAGGACCAACTTTGGTTCCTGCCTTGTCTTCCTCCCTCAGTGAAGCCTGAAATAGCTGTCGCATTAGGCTGAAGTTGTGAAAAGCAGAAGTGAAGACACTTCTTTTTAAAAGGCTGATGCAACTGCGTCAGGTGTGCAGAAAAGCCAAATAATCCTGTTTGGCAACTAAAAAAAATGCAACATCACTGAAACACACCTAAAGATAATGTATTTTTTAAAAAAATACTGTAGAAGAATGGTACTCTTTCACACTTGCATATACTTCATCCTAACTGAAAACACAATATAACAAAACTTCAATTTAATGGACTCCTTTGTGTGCAAGAGACCAAAATTCTTCCTGGACAGCCTCTGAAGTAACAATCAAGTCCACGGCAATTCAAAATTTTATGATAATTTTACATAATTCATAATTTATATGTTTTGCCTAATGACAGTGTTACTAAAATAATGCAAATTGACTGAAATAACATAATCTGCTTCATTTGTATTATGCAAATGGACTAAATTATAACAAATGACATGATTTGCGATTTAACAGACTTTTGGGAATAACAGACCCCCTTGATCTTAAACTAATGTTTCATTGTATGTGAAATTATGCAGTCTAAGAAGGGATACAAAACTGATTATTATGGGCCAGTATCATTGTGGGCCCTAAATTGTTCATGATCATTCTTGTTATTATAATTTCTACACGCTATTTTATTATCATGGAATCATTAAAGACAGTTTTTACCTCTGAAAAAACGATCTTATTACCTGAGAAAACATTAAGGCAAATTATGAAAATGTTTAAAAATTCTAAGGTAAATTGTGATTCTTAAGTCTCATCTAAAAGACCCTTCTCCAATCTGGCAGCTCTCCAGGTAGAGAGCGCCCCCAACATCCCCAGACAATACGACAATGCTGCTATTTTTCTGCAATACCTGCTAAGGTAATTTAAAAAAAAATAGGACAATGCTGCTGGAAATGAAGAGACACCAACTGATGAGAGTTGCAGCCCAGTACTTCTGGAATACACCTACTTGGGAAATGCTGATCTACACTGATTGACTGCAGATCTCCAAGGCTTTAAAATGTAATTTCCTCCATCCTTACCTGGAAATCCTAGATATTGAATGCTGGATCTGCTGAAGTCAAAGTATGGCTTTAACACAAAGCTACATCACTTTCCCAAAGAACAATAACTTCCATAAATTCAAATACAACTTTAACACTAGCTCTTCTTATAGTATACAATGTGCTTTCCACCGAGAGTTGTTTACACTGGAAATAGCAATGCATCATTTATCATAAATATTAGGAATAAATAAAGGGGAAAAAAGTGCAATCATTATGCTGCCCATCATTTTTATTACAGTTACTGCCTCTTACATTGGACAAAATAAAAGTGTAACAATGTTTGAAAAACACTAAATTCAGCTAGGGAATCAGTAAATTAAAGTTTGTTTCCTATAACATACTTTCCAAAAAAGCAGGGGTGAGGAGTCAGAAAAACTAATTATATTCAATTCAAAATGAATACACAAATCTATTCCAAAGGAAAAAAAAAAATAGATTTGCTTAGAATCAGATAGACCCTTGCTATTTTAAGCCACTTTCCATGTGCGCTTGTCCCACTGTTGTAGCTTGAGTACCTGAGACCCAATACAGGCATATCTTACTCAAAGCCCAGGCCTGTTATTTCCTGATCACACACCATGGAGCACCAGGTAGTTACAAGAATTTCAGGAGGAAAACAGCTGGAACTGGGTCAGGGGTGTTTGAATTCAGCCTCCTGCTCAACCAGGAAAATCTTAGGCCATTCATTTCCTTGCCTTCGTAATTTTGTATTGTTTGAGTGAAATGGGCTGGCCAAATGCACAGAGCTAAGGTTCTCAAAGAATGGTGGGATACAAATATGATAATTCAGCCTTAGAAGATGGTTCCAGAGAGATCAATGGGGAACACAAAGGCTGCCCTGGCCAGGAAGAACATACCAGCAGTGCTCAAAGGATGTGGGAAGACTGTAGTTTCCCTGAGGTTGAAGAAGAATTCTGTGCAGGTTTGTTTTCCCTAATTAGTCACTATGACATTTTCTAAGATTTACAAATGCAACCTGTTTTCAGTGCCCACAATTACCAAGAACACCTCTGAGCACCTGAAGAGGGCTTTTTGCTTGGCACCTTAACCCATTCAAAAGTTACACTCCTGTAATTACAAGAAAGGACTTTTGATGCACTTGTGAAGCCATATGGGGTTTGATATGGAGCAATATTCAGATTTAGGGCTTGTTCTCAAGGAAAAGAAAGGCCCTGTCGAGCACAAGCAGTAGTAAGAAATGAGCCTGCACCTCTGAGGATGTGAGGAGACTTTTTTCTTCTTCTTTCCAGTAAGTAGCCAGGCAAGCTGTCCCCTCATGCGAGGGCACTCTGGAGGGCATCTAGGGCAGCCAGGTATTTGGCTCCCAAACAGGCCTTTTCCATCTCAAGGCGCTGCCGCTTCTTCCGCGCCCTGCCCCCCTCCGAAGCCACGCCGGCTGCCCACCAAGCTCTCCATGGAGACTCACCCAGAGTTTTCACCGCGATCTGCCTGGTCAGGGGAGGCGGCAGGTTGATGCAGACCAAATCCACATCCTGATGCAGCAAGACCTCGTCTATCCGGCTGGTGTAGAAGGGGACGCTCATCTCCTTGGCCAGCTCTTCCGCCTCTTCCTGAGTGCGGCCCCAGAGAGCCTTGACCGCGAAGCCCTCGTCCTTTAGCAGCGGGATGATGACCCGGGCGGTCAGGCTGGTGCCGAACACGCCCACCCCGGGCAGCATGGCTGCTGCTGGCTGCTGCCCCCCGCCCTCACCTTTTTTCCTCCTCCTCCTCCTCCTCGCTGAGATCTGCGTTCCCTGCTCGACGCCCGAGCGCCTTCCTTTCCTCCGCGTCGGCCCTTTCACGCGGAGCCGCAATATTACGAGCAATGCGGGGTTGCTACGCGAAGGGCGCCCAGTCCCAACTGGGAACTGCTGCCGCCGCAGGGAACCAGCGGCACCCGATCCCTGCAGCAGTGGCTGGCTCTGCTCCCGGCCGCGGGCCCCTGCTGTGCCCCGCGCGTCTTCATCGGCAAGCGGGTAGCCTCCCCGGCTCGCTGCCGCTGCGCTTCCATGGCCGGGTCATCCCAAGCGCGCACGGCCCTGAGCGCCCCGTGCCTGCGCTGCACACACGCGGGCATTCGGGCAATCCGGCCATTTTTTAAAAACCGACCAACCCGCTCGCTTG